ATAGGATTGGCTTTCCGGTTCCTTCTAAAGTCTACTTCAATTTTATAATCTTAACGTCTCCACCTAAACTCTGAAGTTTTATTTGCTATTTATTTTTCCTCGGCAGGAATAGAGGTTTATACGTTGTTTCCTTTTTAGGATGAGGTTTTTAGTGGCACGATTACCTTGCTTGGGGTGAATTGATGAAAAAGAAGACTAGTGGTGTGTAACTGAATCTCGTCTTGAGGGCCTCCTTGGTGTTGTAGGGCCTGCTTTTCACTTCCCTCTCCAAGACGACCCACACAAAATAATCGAGAGGATTGCAGTCTGGCGATGAGGGGTGGGGGCATAATTTAGGGGACCAGTGGTACGATGAGCAAGTGGCGCCTCTTGATCAAATAAGATTTCTAATTCAAGTCCTCCTTGACAATACGCTCGATTGTTCGCCTGCTAGTGCCTATTTGCTTCACGATTTTCCATACCATTTTGCTGGGGTTCTCCTTGACAACCACGACGAACTCAGGCGTACTGGTGGCACCAGAGCGCTTCTTATGAGTTCTCCGTTCTAGCCTGAGGCCCCATATGTCTTTGTAAGGTCGTAGACCATGGTTTTAGCGTATTTAAACCATTCAATAAATTCCTTGGCCTTGTGACTGGCACGAAGGCTCTTCATAACAGCAGATCGACGATCGTATTCCGAATACGTCGATTACTAAGCAACCCGTGCGTCAATAGCCAGACAGCTACACAAATGACGTCACACATTATGAAAAACATAAAAATGTCTTAAAAATAATTGTCGGACTTTGTCCATTTCATAAGGTGTGACGTCATTTGTTTACATTTGGATACGCTTTGAGCAGATATGAATGTACGTGAGAGATTCATGGAAGATTGAAGTTTAAAGGCAGGAAATTCGACCTTGCTAACCGAACGCTCCTCTGTGGCCAAATCGGTTAAAGGCACGTCAGGCTATATGACGGTTCCGTATATGATACAGGTTTGATTCCTGTCGGAGGACGAATATTTTGTATGAAAATTTCTCGGACATTCAGGCCGGTAAATGTCGTTAATACTGTTTTTTTTTTTTTTTTTTTTTAAAGCATCTCAAGCAAGGCGGGGAGCCACTAGGACGCAAGGGGTTACAGAAAATAGGAAGATCAGATAGGAGTGATAGAAGAAAGGATGAGGGTAGTAGATAGATTAAGGCAACTGGAGATGTCGATTGACATTACACTTGAATAGCTGGAGATTATAACTCTCAGGGAAACAGGAGAAGGGAAGAGAGTTCCACATGCGAGAGGTGCGAGACATGAAGCTATTAGAGTAGAAGAGACGGCTACATTTAGGAGTTTCTGACAGTGGAGGGGTGAGAGCGGGATGCCAGCCTCGTAGGGCGCTTGAACTCATGAAGTCTGGGAACCAGCGAATGCAGTTCCTCGGAGCAATTTCCATGAAAGTATTTATAGAACAGACAGAGGGAGGCGACGGTGCGTCTGTGAGAAAGTGACTGTAGACGAGACGCCAGGGCAGGGCCAACCATATTGCATATCCGCTTCTGGAGCCTATCAAGAACCCCGAGGCAAACAGAAGGGGCGCCAGACCATATATGGCAGCAATACTCCATGCAAGGGAAACAGAGCATTTACTTAAATATTTATATCTATAAAAAGAATGTATAAACATGAAAATATTTTAAAAACAATTGTCGGACTTTGTTCATTTATATATATATATATATATATATATATATATATATATATATATATATATATAAACCTAGTGAACCAGACAAACCTACCTAGGTGTCACCTAAACAGATCGTCAGGGAAAGTGGTTTTCCTTTTTAGGATGAGGTTTTCCTCTGACACAGACGACCCGTTTAGGTGAAACCTAGGTAGGTTTGTCTGCTCGAGGGTTCTATTGAGCTCTTTTGTTAGTTAGTTGTTTACTCGTATCGGTTTTTTTTTCCTTGGGCTTCAAACCTGCATCTGTGCGATTTTTTTCGACAGACTTTCATGCTTGTAGCTCTTTCTTTTTTTTTTTTTTAAACCTTTTTTTCCCTCGAGATTGATTTGATTATTGGCAAGTCAAAAATTCGAGGGTTTTTCGAAACGAGTATAGTTCTCTATATTTGTATGTATATATATATGTAGATAGATAGATATTGATAATATTAGTGGTAAATATACATATACATATGCAATGATATATATACATATTTTTTATTCCCGGAGTTGTTTTTTCTGTTTTCTTTTTGAATTTGTAGGTCTGATGAATTGGATCGTATTCACGATTCCAATGGAATAAATTATGACCATGGAATATTAGTGTTTAATCCTTTTTTATTATATATATATATATATATATATATATATATATATATATATATATATATATATATAGTAAATATGAGTAAAATAAATGAGTAAAATTTTACTAAAGAAGCAAAATGACAATGGTTATCGATTAGTAAATAAATAAACAAAAATTCTTTTTAATTTGGGATAATTATAAACAAAACGAAGAAAAAAATACAATTACAGAAAGAAAATTATAAAAGCTCCTACAGAAGGTATTGAAAAGACTGAGTAAATACAAATTACTCTAAGTAGTTTTTAACACGTTTATTTATCATCTCTCAGTTACGTTTTTGTCTTATAGAGTATTTTGAACACATTTATTTATCATCTCTCGGTGGCGTCTCTGTCTTTGGACACAGTGCGCTAAGGGGCGGTTCTGAGGATAATTATACTGATAGATGTCCAGCCCTGGGGAACAGCTGCCGTCTCATTGCACTAAGGAAATGGATCGGTGTTCGCACTGAGGTAAGCGCAACCAAAGGTGGCTGGAGCTAGGAGGATTTTTGTTTCTAGCCCGGTAGTTCGCGCTCAGGCTCCCCACATTAAACTGACCTTATGTCACAACACTACTTCGTGGGTGGTTGAGTAAATACCAAATTACTAGAAAGTAGAGTTGGGCTCTTTTAACCCCAGAATTATGTGGGTTAATTGAGCTCCAATTTCGCATTTATTCAAACAGATTAGCGCCACGATCAATAGATATATCTTTACACGCTTCATGCGTATAATCTTCGATTTGTTCGTTCCGTGTCTATGTGAATAAACGACCCGATATCTATGCTGATGACACGCTTTTCTCCATGTCTGGTCGTTTCGATAGGGTCAAACTGGTATGTCTGAATATAACGAACCCGACTGGAATTGGAACCCGGTTCTCCGATTAACAATTCCTCGCCGTTATCTATTTTCACCACCAGCAATCACAAGCTTAAAGCACTTGGTATCTCCAAGCGGTCACCAGTCTATACCCTGACCAGGCTCGACGTTGCTTATTGTAGAAGAAACGGAGTTTCAACATGATATGGTCGTAAACCGCGGAAAGAGAAGAAAGAGCTGATGAAAGTAGAGGAGGGGGAAGAGGAAAAGTTGATTGAAGAGAAGGCGAGGAGGAGTTGGTGGGTGGAAGAGGAGAAGGCAAAGAAGGAAAAAGGTAGGGAAAAGGAGGAGCATGTGAACTATAAGACGAAATGAAGAGAAAGAACAGGTGTAAGACCAAGAGGAAGGAAGAAGAGGAATTTGAGGAAAATAAGGAGGGGGAGGACAAGGGTGTGGCCGAAGAAGAGGAGGGACCTTTTGATACTCGTATTCATCCCATACAAAGCCCAAGAGCCACTGACGGCAGAGGGTTACTCTGTGGTGTTGTATGAGTGTAAGGAAAAGCAAAATGTGAAGTTCATAAGGTTATGCAGGAACGATAATGGTTAATCTCAGATTCGAAGATTGGGAAAGCATCCTCTGGGGAGGCTTTTTCACTAAGCATCAGTTCTTGGGAAGAAGCTTTCCGATTGAAACTTATTTCTTACGAATACGAAGGGAAATGGGGCTGACCCACACTTGTGTATGGGGCGTGGCGAGCCCCAGCTGAAGAGGTCAGAGCTGGTGAAATGTAGAGGTTCGCGGCATTTCGTCTGTGGGGAAGGGGTTGTCGGGTTGAAAAGGATTTATCACCCAAAGGTACGCGGAGACGCTTTTGAAAGGTGAACTGGGAGGCTCGAGCCCACATATGGCAGCAATACACCATCTTGGGTCGGATCCGGTTTCATGTAAAGAGAGAGGATAGCAGGGTGAGATACTTAGTGAAGTGGGTATGGTGAGCCGGAAGCGGAAGAAGAAAAGTGGTGGAAGAGGAGAGGTTGGCGGAAAATGAAGAGGAGGAGGCGGTAGAAGAGGCAGTGGGAGAGGATGAGGTGAAAATGTGGAAGAGAAAGAGGAGGAGTTAGAATAGGTGATGGGAGGGGATGAGGTGAAAATGAAGGGAGAAGGAGCAGGTGTGGAAGAGGCATCGGGAAAGAATGAGGTGAAAATGAGGGGAGGAAGGCCGAGGTGGAAGTGGCGGTGGGAAAGAATGAGGTGAAAATGAGGAGTAGGAGGAGTAGGTAGAAAAGGCTGTGGATGGGAATGAGGTGAAAATAGGCGGAAGGGGAGGAGGAGAAGAGGCGTAGGCAGAGAATGAGGTGAAAAGGAAGAGGTGGAGGTAGACAAGGCGGCGGAAGAGAATGTGATTAAACTGAGAAGGAGAAGGACTTGCTGATGTAAGAGGGGGAAGAGGAATAAAATGAGATGGTGGTGGACGACTCTGTAATGGAAAAAAGGGAGCAGGGTGTGATAAAGATGCAAGGCTGAGTGCAAGGGGAGGAGCATTTGGGAAACGAGAAACGTAACATAAAGACGGCGTGCGGCAAATGTCGGAGGCAGAGGCATTGGAAAACATTTGAAAGTGATCTGATCTTCACTCAGTAACAAAAGATCATTTAATTAACTGATAATAATTGAGAGATTCGTGTGTGTTCTGTATTATCTGTTCTGATTATTCACTCATTACCAGGCGATTATTGTGACGATATTCAAACAAGACGCTGATCAGGTTTTCTTTCTCTTTCATCATCAAAGGATTTTAATCAGAAATCTCTGGCGGCTAAACAGGCTGGGTAAGAAAAAATGCTGAGGTAAACATCTATAGAAACGGATCGATTTTTAGCTATCAATCAATACAGCATCTTCAAATTGTTTTGACTGATCTTTCTGTCTTACGATAACGGATCTATCTATCTATCTATCTATCTATCTATCTATCTAGCTAGCTAGCTAGCTAGCTAGCTAGTTAGCTAGCTAGCTAGCTATTCAGATCTCTCTCACTATCTACTTGTTCACATCTATCTATCTATCTATCTATCTCTATCTATCTATCTATCTATCTAGTTATCTATCTATCTATAAATTCACATCTCTCTCACTATCTACTTCTTCATATCTATCTATCTATTCAGATCTCTCTCACTATCTATCTATCTATCTATCTATCTATCTATCTAGAAATTCACATCTGTCTCACTATCTACTTCTTCATATATCTATCTATCTATCTATCTATCTATCTATCTATCTATCTATCTATCTATCTCAGTCTGTTCGTATCTATCTATCTATCTATCTATCTATCTATCTATCTATCTATCTATCTATCTAAACCTCCTCCTACTGTATCTCTCACCCATTTTCTGCTTTCTTTTATACACTTTATTAAAACCCCTCTCTTCCTCTCTCTCTCTCTCTCTCTCTCTCTCTCTCTCTCTCTTCTTTCTTTCGTTCCTAGCCATCAACCTGCATATTCTCCTCTCTGGCTGTCTTTGCGGGTACCCTCACCATCCACCCGGTCATGCTTAATTCTTTGAGAGATTTGAAATCTGTTGGCTAACGTGCTTCAAATTCACATGCACCCAGATGCTCTCGCGATGCCTGAGAGTAAACAACCAAAATGGCAGAAATAAAAAAAAAAGAAAAAAAGAAACGGAATATTTCAACAAAATGTCACGCACAATTTAGGATTCAAACAATGTGAATTCCGCACGTGATTAACGCTTATTAAAGAATATTTCAAATGAAAAAAAAAATAGCTCTGTTGAAAATACAGAAAATTAAATTTCAATATAAAAAACAAAAAAAAAAATTATTAAGTACAAAGGAATTTGTTTACGGACCTAAAATATTTGCGTTTACTTTGAAACATCAGATGACACGACAAAATCTGCGAATGCATTTGTCTTGGGAGCTTTTCCTTTCTAAATCTTTTAATCAGTGAAAACAATGTAAGTGATTCAATCTTGATGCCTTAATTTAAACGAGTAAGAAGTTTTTTTTTTTAACCGAATTCACCCCAAGCAAGTCAGTGAAGGCACTAAGACACAAGTGTTTACTAGGTGTGGAGGAATTAGAAAACAAACCTTATTGAGGAGTAAGAACAATAGAAGAGTAACCTGGAAGACAGTAGATAGCAATTGACATTAAATTTAAATTCTTAGAGATTAAAGTTAGCCGGAAATTATGGAACCGGAAAAGAGTCCCACAAGCGAGAAGTGCGAGAAAAGAAACTGTTAGTATAGAACTTACGGTTACACCTAACCAATTCAACTGTCGTTGAGCCTTCTTGGGCTAACTTTTTGGCTGCCATGAACTGGAAATACTATATGAATCTATTGCTAGGTTAGCTGCTAAGAAAGTTAGTTCTGTCTGTCGTAATAGACAATTTTCTTTCCGGAATCTATCTTGCATATCTATGTCTACCATTCGCCCATGCTTAGCTTTGTGATGTCAATGAATATTCGTTTGACACTTTTGTAATGTCAATGGATATTCGTTGTCACTTTCGTAATGCTCGTTGTAGTAGAGACTTTGTTATCGCAGATACAACTATAGTAACGCCGTTGAACAATGCTGGTGTCAGACGCCTTCGAATAATCTCGCACTAATAGTACCAGCTCGATAATAATTTGCTGGAAGAGTAATCCGTATAGTGATATGAATAGAGAAATAGTATAGTGAATAGTATAGAGAATAGCAGTTCGTATAGTATAGAGGATAGACTAGAAATAACGATCCGTATAGTAATAGAGGATGGACTAGAAATGGCGATCTGTATACTAACAGAGGATAGACTAGAAATGGCGATCTGTATACTAACAGAGGATAGACTAGAAATGGCGATCTGTATACTAACAGAGGATAGACTAGAAATAACGATCCGTATAGTAATAGAGGATGGACTAGAAATGGCGATCTGTATACTAACAGAGGATAGACTAGAAAGATCTGTATACTAACAGAGGATAGACTAGAAATGGCGATCTGTATACTAACAGAGGATAGACTAGAAATAACGATCCGTATAGTAATAGAGGATGGACTAGAAATGGCGATCTGTATACTAACAGAGGATAGACTAGAAATGGCGATCTGTATACTAACAGAGGATAGACTAGAAATGGCGATCTGTATACTAACAGAGGATAGACTAGAAATAACGGCGTATAGTAATAGAGGATTTAGAAAATGATCTGTATACTAACAGAGGATAGACTAGAAATGGCGATCATATGGATAGACTAGAAATGGCGTTATATAACAGAGGATAGACTTTAACGATCCGTATAGTAATAGAGGATGGACTGAAATGGCGATCTGTATTAACAGAGGATAGACTAGAAATGGCGATCTGTATTAACAGAGGATAGACTGAAATGGTGATTGTATACTAACAGAGGATAGACTAGAAATAACGATCCGTATAGTAATAGAGGATGGACTAGAAATGGCGATCTGTATACTAACAGAGGATAGACTAGAAATGGCGATCTGTATACTAACAGAGGATAGACTAGAAATGGCGATCTGTATACTAACAGAGGATAGACTAGAAATAACGATCCGTATAGTAATAGAGGATGGACTAGAAATGGCGATCTAGATACTAACAGAGGATAGACTAGAAATGGCGATCTGTATACTAACAGAGGATAGACTAGAAATGGCGATCTGTATACTAACAGACTGGAAATAACGATTTTAATAGAGGATGGACTAGAAATGGCGATCTGTATACTAACAGAGGATAGACTAGATTTGGCGATCTGTATGTAACAGAGGATAGACTAGAAATAACGATCCGTATAGTAATAGAGGATGGACTAGAAATGGCGATCTGTATACTAACAGAGGATAGACTAGAAATGGCGATCTGTATACTAACAGAGGATAGACTAGAAAATCTGTATACTAACAGAGGATAGACTAGAATTGGCGATCTTATTTTTTTTTAGACTAGAAATGGCGATCTGTATACTAACAGAGGATAGACTAGAAATGGGGATCCGCATAGTAATAGAAGATAGACAAGAAATAGCGATCTGTATAGTAACAGAGGATAGACTAGAAATAGCGATCATTTAGATGTCACGCTACCTTCCATATGCATTTCGTTTATGTGTTTAGTTTTGTAATTGATGAAAAGTATTGTCTTGAAAGGGACAGTTTTGTAGCCGTTGAACAGTGTTGTCCTAGAAAGGACAGTCTATGATATATTTTTGCTGCGCCTGCTGCTGATGGCTAGCTGGAGCTGAGATCTTGTCCGCGCATGGAATGTTTTGTTTGTATTTGAGACCATTTTATGTTGAGTTAGCTACACAACAGCGGTCGGTCATTTTAATCAAAGTTTCTCATTTCAGCTTTTTTTTTTTTTTTTAAACGTGGGGGTACCGACAGGATACAATTTTTCCTTGTCATATCGACCAATCAGAATATCAGGTTGCTGAACATTTTTTTGTACCAAATATATGCTGTCTGAAATAGCTGAATTGTCTCTTTGAACCTCTGTTCATTTGTTCAGCACACAGTTTATCATTGACAATTTGGTTATTTTGAAGCATTTTGTATTAAATTAGTCCTTGCCAGTCCCACCAAGCGCAGATAATTCGCTTGCATCGATAAAAGTCTGGTTTAAAAAGTTGTTATCCTTTTGGGAAAAAACCCATTGCAAATGTTTTGCCGTCCTGGAAAAGACGATAAACTGCGTTCAAAATAAACTGAGCATCAAAGAATACATATTCTATTGATCATCCTAAGGTTTTGAGGGCGTGGAACCACATTGAGGTTAATTGCTGGTGTTCCTGAACCAATCTAAACCCTGAACATATTCTGGTAGCACCTGTTATGGGTCCCAGCATTGAGGTTGGGGCAAACCAAAGTTAACTATTAAACCAAAGAAGCAATACTTATTTTCGGCATTAAAAAAATTATTACCAGTAATACAATTTTGAATCCTAAAAAAAAAAATTAATAGAACCAGATTTTGACAAAAAAAATATTCTATTCATACGAATAAAAAATGTTGTCGGCATTAAATAATCCATTGAGGTTGATATGCCGTAAACCAAAATAAACTGAACCAATCTAAACCAAAGAATACATATTCTATTCATACGAATCTATCCTAAAAATGTTGTCGGCATTAAATAACCCATTGAGGTTGATATGCCGTAAACCAAAATAAACTGAACCAATCTAAACCAAAGAATACATATTCTATTCATACGAATCTATCCTAAAAATGTTGTCGGCATTAAATAACCCATTGAGGTTGATATACCGTAAACCAAAATAAACCAAAATAAACTGAACCGAAATCCTAAACCAAAGAATACATATTCTATTCATAAACGAATCTATTCTATTCATACGAATCTAAAAATGTTGTCGGCATTAAATAACCCATTGAGGTTGATATACCGTAAACCAAAATAAACTGAACCAATCTAAACCAAAGAATACATATTCTATTCATACGAATCTATCCTAAAAATGTTGTCGGCATTAAATAACCCATTGAGGTTGATATGCCGTAAACCAAAATAAACTGAACCAATCTAAACCAAAGAATACATATTCTATTCATATGAATCTATCCTAAAAATGTTGTCGGCATTAAATAACCCATTGAGGTTGATATACCGTAAACCAAAATAAACTGAACCAATCTAAACCAAAGAATACATATTCTATTCATACGAATCTATCCTAAAAATGTTGTCGGCATTAAATAACCCATTGAGGTTGATATGCCGTAAACCAAAATAAACTGAACCAATCTAAACCAAAGAATACATATTCTATTCATACGAATCTATCCTCCTAAAAATGTTGTCGGCATTAAATAACCCATTGAGGTTGATATGCCGTAAACCAAAAAAACTGAACCAATCTAAACCAAAGAATACATATTCTATTCATACGAATCTATCCTAAAAATGTTGTCGGCATTAAATAACCCATTGAGGTTGATATACCGTAAACCAAAATAAACTGAACCAATCTAAACCAAAGAATACATATTCTATTCATACGAATCTATCCTAAAAAATGTTGTCGGCATTAAATAACCCATTGAGGTTGATATGCCGTAAACCAAAATAAACTGAACCAATCTAAACCAAAGAATACATATTCTATTCATATGAATCTATCCTAAAAATGTTGTCGGCATTAAATAACCCATTGAGGTTGATATGCCGTAAACCAAAAAAACTGAACCAATCTAAACCAAAGAATACATATTCTATTCATATGAATCTATCCTAAAAATGTTGTCGGCATTAAATAACCCATTGAGGTTGATATGCCGTAAAACAAAAAAAACTGAACCAATCTAAACCAAAGAATACATATTCTATTCATATGAATCTATCCTAAAAATGTTGTCGGCATTAAATAACCCATTGAGGTTGATATGCCGTAAAACAAAAAAAACTGAACCAATCTAAACCAAAGAATACATATTCTATTCATACGAATCTATCCTAAAAATGTTGTCGGCATTAAATAACCCATTGAGGTTGATATGCCG